TTGAGGTCTGTTTTTAGTATTTATTGTCTTTTGTTACAGAGTCAATTCTTAAATGCATTTTTTTCTGCTTAGAGTAGGAGATAAGTGCCATGGAACTTCAAAAACCATTGTCATCCTCCCTGAATATCTGTGAGGCTTTAGAATCTCAGGAAAACTGAATGTCTGTATAACGCCCTAGAATCCTCAAAACATGTACTAGAAAAATCAGGTCATTTCAGTCACTTCAGGAAATGAACTGGGCTCTTAGTCCATTTTTTGGTACTTCCAGCTTGGTAAAGTGTAGAAAGAAAACCTGAAATTTATGGCATGATAGTTTTATTGATTCTATATGTTTTTGTACTAATGTCTGAATAGAGACAAATGTATATTTGTAGCTCCTTAAAGGTTAGGGACAGAAGTTAAACACAAACTGGTTTAAGTGATCAGAAACTGGTTTAAACCTGTAACAGAATAGAAGAGCAGTGCACATAAACAAGTTTCAAAATGGCTGAAACTGGTTTAAGATAAACCTTGTTGAATATAGTATCAAACTTAAACTTGTGCGGGCTGGGAGCGATCCGGGCCCTTTTTCGCACCGTGTGGGCTGTGGCCAGCAGCCCGGACACGCTGGGTCGGAGAAAACAGGCGACACGCTAGAATTAGTCACGGATGCGTAATGGTTGATTTAAGATTATTTACTTACACCGAAGATGGTTGCGGTGCAGGCAGGAAAACTTGCTTGAGTTGCAGTTACAGATAGAAAAGAAGAGAGGCGGACTAGAGTTCCTTCCCGTGAACATTCTTCTAGCCCATCCGGTTGGAGGCTCTGAACCGCGAGCCTGTCGCGCCAACCGAAGGAAGTACTTGAAGAGAAGAGCTCTGAATAGACTCACACGAAGTTTGCTAGGCTCCGTGGAACTTGTGCACGCAGGGAGAAGGATACGTCGACGATTGCGCTCGGTGACGGGGAGAGGCTAGAGGCTGATCAGACCCCTGTTGCCTGCTTGAAATGCGCTGGGTCCGATAGGCTCCGCAGCGCTTAGGGATCTTCACACAGCGTGAAGTCTCCTCCTCCTGGTGTTCGTGGAGTCCTCCCTTGCGGGGTTCTCCTTGGGGTTCTCCAACTTGGGCGGAAACCGCTCAAGCCTCTTGTACGGCTAGCAAGCCAATCGCTAGCCGCCCCCTGGGGA